GTGTCACCAGACCTCTGGGGACTCCAGTGATGGCCGGCCCACTTGGAGGGAAGATTACCAGAGGAAACTTGGGTGCTATAGAAGTGACAGAATCTGGACATCTGATTGCTGGGGAGGTGCTGGGCAGGACAACGAATCATAGCTGAGTTTGGATGCCTTTCAGAACAAAGAGTTGAATGTCTAGCCTCTGCTGGAGACTTTTTTCCTTAAAATACATCTCCATGGAATTTTTTTTTTTTTTTTGGTGCATTTGGGGGTCATTTTAATGTTCCTGGTTTTCTAGAGAGAGAGAGAGAGAGAGAGGCTGTTGCCCTTGAGGCCAGACAGTCCTCCTTACAAAGGTGGCTGGGCATCGGGGGACAACTAGTGGCCCCCCCTTGCCTGCCCATAGTGCCACCCTCACAGGTCTCCTGAAAATCCAGGAATGGCCTCTCCTCTAGGTTCCCCAGTTCCCCTGCAGGGTGGTATCAAGCACAGATCCAATTGCATCGGTAATACTAAGCTTACCAAGTGCCTGCTATGTGCAGGTCCTGTTCTACATATCTGTGCACTTGGTCACCACAAACATGCTATGCCGGCACACACCTGTCACACCACAGGGCAGACAGGAAACTGACAGAGAGGCTTAGCACCAGGCCAGAATTCAGTCAGTCAGGCAACTGACGCATGTACTCCTATCTCACTTCTGACTCTTGATACCATAGGTGTAGTCTGAGTATTTAATTGCAGGTATGTTTTGTGTGTGTGTTTAGATCTCTGGATATTGTTTCTTAGTTTAATGACTCATCATTTGCTAAAGGCTCCTCTTCCCCCTGACCTTCTTCTTGGTGGCTGTGCATGAGCTCTCTTGGCTGAGTTTCCTTGGTGGCTGTGCATGGGATTTCTTGGCTGAGTTTTCTTGGTGGCTGTGCATGGGATTTCTTGGCTGAGTTTTCTTGGTGGCTGTGCATGGGATTTCTTGGTGGCTGTGCATGGGATCTCTTGGCTGAGTTTCCTCTCAGATGGCTCATATGCACCTTGTGCAGCCACAGGAGACAGAGTGGACCCGGCCTGCTCCTCAGAGTGCGAATACAGCAGAGGCAGGACAGCCAGCTGCTTCTAAGTCCCTAGGCGGCAGCTGGGGCTTTTCCAGTCATCTTGCTGGTTTTCAGGCCAGCCAGCTGCTGAAGATGGTGAGTTTTCAGGCCTCTTTAGACCTGAAGTTACAGTGAAGCCTTGGTTTGTATCTCAGCTCTGCCGCATTGATCCATTTGGCTAGGGGCGGCTGCTCAATGTATTGCATCTAGTTTGTCCTCTGTTCATTAAGAAACCATCCAGTAAGATTTGCCTCCTAAAGTAAGAAGGAGAATGCCACCTGGAGCTTAGCACAGGGCCTGTACTCTGCAGATCCTCAGTGAGTGCTGCCTCTAAACAAGTTACACCCCTGCCCCCAATCCCATCCAGAAATGTCTCCTGGCCCTGCTGTTCTGGTGCATGTCACATTCCTCTGTCCCTTGGCCTGTGGTGTCCTGTACATGGTGCAGCAGTCACTTCTCAAAGGCTGTTTGCAGCCTCTTCCTTGGGTGTTACTCAGATGCACTCTCTCTGGTATTAGGTTGTCATCCAGGTGAGGCTCTTGAGTTCCATTCAGTTTCAAACTTCTTTGTGTCCTTGGCCAAGGCAGCTCGAACTAGAGTGTGGTCCTGACTCACCAGCCATGACACTTGACCAGGTCCCTTAACAAACTTTCTGACCCAGTATCCTACCTCTAGGCATCAGTCTCCTGCCTACCTGTCCCTTTCCCCCACATCTTCTTGGTGAATGTAACAGAACATTGTGCACTGTGAGTGTGGATGTGCATAGATGCATCCTTATGCCCCCTCTACCATTCGCTTCCACACCATGCTGCCCACTCCACCTATCTGGCCTGCCTCCTGTCCTACAGCTGCCTATTTCAGACTGGGTCCAAGTGGTAGATTTTCTTTATTGAGTGTCATGCAGGAGAATTTCCTACGGGAACCATCCCGCACATGACCAGAGCATTGCTTCTCCAAGAAGGCCACTGTGGTCCATAGATGCCTGGTGATGGGCCACTTTCAGGAAAGTCAGTTTTTAGTTTCTTGTAGAATTAAGGTGTCCCCAAACATACCTGTGAGAAGAACATGTGCAAAAGTGTGACTGGCAGATGATCACTTTGCTGACTGGGTGAATTGGGACAGGCATTCTGGGTAGGCATTGAGTAGCCTAGATTCAGTGGGGTCATGTGTAGAAGCACTTACAGGATGCTGAAGGAGTGTCCTGGGACAGTGGTGTTGTTCATCCCTGATCGCAAAGCATGCTTTCTTGCATGAAGTCTAACCTGGGGTTTTTGGCAGGAGGAAGGATGCATTGAGGCTCCACCTTTCTGACTGAGCCTAGGAGGAAATGCTGGATGATGGGTGTGAAAAGGCATTTCTTTTTTATCATGGGCGTCCTTGCTCAAGAACAAATCCAGGCCCACGCCTATAATTCTAGCTACTTGGGAGGCTGAGATCAGGAGTATCATAGTTTGAGGCCAGCCCAGGCAAATAGTTTGTGAGACCCTAGTTTCAGAATAACCAGAGCAAAATGGGCTGGATGTGTGGCTCGAGCACATGTAGAGCACCTGCTTTGTTTTGTTTTTTTTTTTTTTTCATTTTTCTTTTATTATTCATATGTGCATACAAGGCTTGGTTCATTTATCCCCCCTGCCCCCACCCCCTCCCTTACCACCCACTCCACCCCCTCCCGCTCCCCCTCCTCAATACCCAGCAGAAACTATTTTGCCCTTATCTCTAATTTTGTTGTAGAGAGAATATAAGCAATAATAGGAAGGGACAAGGGGTTTTGCTGGTTGAGATAAGGATAGCTATACAGAGCATTGACTCACATTGATTTCCTGTGCATGGGTGTTACCTTCTAGGTTAATTCTTTTTGATCTAACCTTTTCTCTAGTACCTATTCAATCCCCTTTTCCTATTGGCCTCAGTTGCTTTAAGGTATCTGCTTTAGTTTCTCTGCATTAAGGGCAACAAATGCTAGCTAGTTTTTTAGGTGTCTTACCTATCCTCACCCTCCCTTGTGTGCTCTCGCTTTTATCATGTGCTCAAAGTCCAGTCCCCTTGTTGTGTTTGCCCTTGATCTAATGTCCACATATGAGGGAGAACATAGGATTTTTGGTCTTTTGGGCCAGGCTAACCTCACTCAGAATGATGTTCTTCAATTCCATCCATTTATCAGTGAATGATAACATTTCGTTCTTCTTCATGGCTGCATAAAATTCCATTGTGTATAGATACCACATTTTCTTTTTTTTAATTTTCTTATTCATATGTGCATACAAGGCTTGGGTCATTTCTCCCCACTGCCCCCACCCCCTCCCTTACCACCCACTCCGCCCCCTCCCTCTCCCCCCACCCCCTCAATACCCAGCAGAAACTATTTAGCCCTTATTTCAAATTTTGTTGTAGAGAGAGTATAAGCCATAATAGGAAGGAACAAGGGTTTTTGCTGGTTGAGATAAGGATAGCTATACAGGGAGTTGACTCACATTAATTTCCTGTGCGTGTGTGTTACCTTCTAGGTTAATTCTTTTTGATCTAACCTTTTCTCTAGTTCCTGGTCCCCTTTTCCTATTGGCCTCAGTTGCTTTTAAGGTATCTGCTTTAGTTTCTCTGCGTTAAGGGCAACAAATGCTAGCTAATTTTTTAGGTGTCTTACCTATCCTCACCCCTCCCTTGTGTGCTCTCGCTTTTATCATGTGCTCATAGTCCAATCCCCTTGTTGTGTTTGCCCTTGATCTAATGTCCACATATGAGGGAGAACATACGATTTTTGGTCTTTTGGGCCAGGCTAACCTCACTCAGAATGATGTTCTCCAATTCCATCCATTTACCAGCGAATGATAACATTTCGTTCTTCTTCATGGCTGCATAAAATTCCATTGTGTATAGATACCACATTTTCTTAATCCATTCGTCAGTGGTGGGGCATCTTGGCTGTTTCCATAACTTGGCTATTGTGAATAGTGCTGCAATAAACATGGGTGTGCAGGTGCCTCTGGAGTAACCTGTGTCACAGTCTTTTGGGTATATCCCCAAGAGTGGTATTGCTGGATCAAATGGTAGATCAATGTCTAGATTTTTAAGTAGCCTCCAAATTTTTTTCCAGAGTGGTTGTACTAGTCTACATTCCCACCAACAGTGTAAGAGGGTTCCTTTTTCCCCGCATCCTCGCCAACACCTGTTGTTGGTGGTGTTGCTGATGATGGCTATTCTAACAGGGGTGAGGTGGAATCTTAGCGTGGTTTTAATTTGCATTTCCTTTATTGCTAGAGATGGTGAGCATTTTTTCATGTGTTTTTTGGCCATTTGAATTTCTTCTTTTGAGAAAGTTCTGTTTAGTTCACTTGCCCATTTCTTTATTGGTTCATTAGTTTTGGGAGAATTTAGTTTTTTAAGTTCCCTATATATTCTGGTTATCACTCCTTTGATGTGTAGCTGGCAGATATTTTCTCCCACTCTGTGGGTGTTCTCTTCAGTTTAGAGACCATTTCTTTTGTTAAGCAGAAGCTTTTTAGTTTTATGAAGTCCCATTCATTTATGCTATCTCTTAGTTGCTCTGCTGTTGGGGTTCCATTGAGAAAGTTCTTACCTATACCTACTAACTCCAGAGCATTTCCTACTCTTTCCTGTATCAACTTTAGAGTTTGGGGTCTGATATTAAGATCCTTGATCCATTTTGAGTTAATATTGGTATAGGGTGATATACATGGATCTAGTTTCAGTTTTTTGCAGACTGCTAACCAGTTTTCCCAGCAGTTTTTGTTGAAGAGGCTGCTTTTTCTCCATCATATATTTTTAGTGCCTTTGTCAAAGACAAGTTGGTTATTGCATACTGTTTTATACCTTTAAAATCTTGCATTTTGTGGTAAACGAGTCAAATCTTTACTTAAATAAGTTCTGTCATAACTTGGAGTTGAAATGACAAGTCCATTCTGAGCTTTACCTAAAGTGCTGTAGATACAGAGCCTGGAAGCCTTTCTGCTGCTGCTGGGTCTGTGGTGGGGAAAGTCAGGCAGTTGTGAGGTGTGGCCTACTCCAGGCCCCTGCCAGTTAATCTGGGAAGTCACAGGGAGCTTTTGGTTGTGTGTGTGGTGTGCTGGCGAGTGTGCACAGATGTGTTTCCAAAGAACATTGTTAGTGAGTCAAAGCAGCTGCTGACTTGTGGATGGCAGCGGTCCTGACCTCCAGGTGTCAGATGGCCCAAGTAAATGAAGAGCCACAGCAGAAGTAATGCCACCTGAAACTCCACATAATTAAACTCCTTTTAATTCTTTTGCTTTACCTAGAAGGGTTTGAAGAGGGAAGAGTCAGTAACAGGTACCTGGAGATGGAAGAGTCTCATTTCTTTTTCCTTTCTTGATTTACTTTTCCCAGGGAAATGCTTTGATGGTACTGAGGTTTGAACTCAAGGCCTCAAGCCACGCCCCCAGCTCTTTTTGCTTTAGTTATCTTTTCAGGTAGGATCTCATGTTTTTCCCAGAGTGGCTTCAGACCACTATCCTATGACCCTAAGTCTCCCATGTAGCTGGGATCACAGACCTGAACCATCATGTCCAGCTTATTTGTTGAGATGGGGTCTCACTAGCTTTTTTTGCCTGGGCTGACCTTTAACCTCAATCCTCCTGATCTCTGCCTCCCAAGTAGCTGGTATGATAGGTAAGAGCCACCTGTACATGGCTCCCAGGGGAAGTTTTCACTTGCAAGTTTGCATGTCAGCCTCACATTGTTCTGAGTTGTTGATGAAATCATGTATGAGCTTAAATTGCTGAACAGTGACTTTGCTGAAATTCTTCACTCACAGTTTTTGGAAGAGAAAGCTATTGTTATGAGTATTCAAGTTCCTACCCCATGAAGGAAAGAAAAAAAAGCTGATGAAAAGCTTAAGGACTGGGCTGCAGGCATGGCACTGCTCCCTTCCAGAAGA